TTTGTAGTCTCATAAAGGGAGTGAGAAACGCTACAACAGCCTAGTCACCAACCGCTTGCATTCATTTATAAAGACAGGTTTTTACAGTAGTGATCAGAATTAGAAAACAAACAAATGACATTTGTAATTTACAAAGTTCCTGCTTACCCAAATTTGCAGTTATCCATGAACTGAAGAGATATTTGTATTGTATTTCCTCAGTGAAACTCTCTCACATCCCAAAATAAGAGGTTGTACCTCTTCAGTCCATGTAAACAGAACCCAGACATGTGCTCTTGTGTTCACCATTTGAGTACTTTTATTAGCAAGAAAATGTCATATCTTTGATTCATCAAAATAAGCTCCTCTAGCAGTTATAACAGCAGAGAAAAATCGAGGCATTGTTTGTACAAAGGAAATTAAATACTGCTCTGTTTCATTAACTAGTTCATTTAAAGTTAAAGGACAGCCTAGTATTTCACGATGCCATCACCACACAACTAGTTAATAGCATGTCAGACATGCACTGTTACATACTCTCTTCATATTATAAAGGAAACTTTTTATTAGATTTATCTTTTCATTTATCCACCTCCACCTTGCAGTGCTTAACGAGAATAAGAAATCTGCAGTTTACGAAATATATGCAAGAGTGGGAAAAACCTGTGGTGTGTGACAGCTTTTAACCGGTAGTGTCTATATTTGAAAAGTAGACTGCTGAAGGGTTCTGGGGGTGTTTTTATTTGAATGTTTCTATGACATAAACTTGCAGAGTCTTTTAGACAGTCTGGAGAGATTTCTGTTTGATCCCGCAGGGGGATCAGGGGCTCCGGAGAATTAAGTTTATGTAACAGTTTTTAGACACACCTGTAAAGCGGAGTGACACATCTGATGTGAAATGTCCGATTGCAGTTATACTCTGATAACAGCACTCACAGAGCACCTCTTGTCCAGTCAGATTTCTTGATCGGAACTAGCTGTTGTATAACGTATATCATCACTGTCCAATGAAAAGCATGTGTCTCGAAAAGCCATTATTTCAGGAGATAAAAAGTAACCCATACCAACAATCATCAAGGAGAGAGACAGAGACGTTTCCAGTTGAAATGCCGGGCTGACTTTGTAGAAAAAAACATTGCAAATCAATTTGCTAATAGATTCTTCACACACTGTTGATGAGCTGGTCAGAATTGGAAATTCTTTTTAGAGTAAGACCTTTGGGATTATGAGTCCTATTGATCAAATGTCAGTAAAGCTCGATAGCAGAAGAAGCTCCCTCTAAGGGAGCAGGAAGAAACAACAGAGTAACATGAGGATTTTACAGACAGTCAGTAGTGGAACAGTTTCAGAAAACCCTTCATGGTCTTGAAAGTGGTTGATATGTTTGCTCCTCTTGACCCTGGATGCACATATATCCTTATACAAAAATCCTTGGCACAAAATCAAACAGGCATGTGAAGATTTGCAACCATATCCTGCCTATATTACTATTGCCAAGTAGACAAGCCAACCTAGTTATGGAACAAGTTGGAAAGCACTTTCCGCAAGTAGCAGTGGATGCTAGATGTCTGTTTCGTAATCAGCATTTAGTTTTTTTTTTTTCTTCTTTCATTGAGATAAAGTAAAAAAAAAAATTCATCAGGTCTTGTCCTAGATTTCTAGATGGTCTCCCAAGAGAGATACAGTACACCTACCATTACTTTTACTAGGCAGTTGTTTGCACTCTATTCAGCCATGGATAGCTGTTCTAGGTTCACCCCCGTGCACCCTAGCCATAGCATGCTATTCAGAGGAGAACACGGAGCAGACACCAGATAAAAAAACTAGTTTGAGAAGCAGATACCATATTGTAAGTGTGGTATCTGAAGAGTAGTGTCTAAAGCTATTTCTGTTGGCCAGAATAAAACAGGACAAAGTGCAGCCTTTTTTGAATGCATGCATTTTTAGGACATGTGGTATCTGCAGATGGCACTGAGACTGAACCTAATACCATGAAGGCTTTCCCATTACCCCAATCATTAAGTGATGTTTTCACACTTGGCTCGATTCAGCCAATTTAAGTGGACATGGTGTGTTTTCTCCGTATTGTGGGCCATGTGTCTAAGCTCATAATGAGCTCAGACCCCCAAACGCAAACTGAACTCACTCATAATGAGCTCAGACCCCCAAAAGCAAACTGAACTCAAACCATCTCATTGCTCTATGCGTTTTTGGCCACTACGGGATAAAATTTTGTGTTGTCACCACTGTCAAAGCACTTTGAATTCTGGTGCATTCTATTTGAACTCAGAAGTTGTGACCCATGGCTGAGCAGGTGCATGCCAGCCTCACATCACCAAGCGCAATGTCAGGTGGTGGATGGAGTGGTGTAAAGTGATGAAACATGCTTCCCAATCTGGCAGTCTGATGGACAAGTCTGGCCTTGGCAGATGGCAGGAGAACAGTCCCTGCCTGACTACATTGTGCCAACTGTAAAGTTTGGTAGAGGAGGGATAATGGTTTGGGGTTGTTTTTCAGGGGTTGGGCTAGACCACTTAGTTACAGTGAAGGGAACTCTTAATGATTCAGCAAACCACTGTGGTTTCGACAATTCCATGCTTCCAACTTCATAGGAACAGTTTGGGGAAGGTCCTTTTCTGTGCCTGTGCACAAAGCAAGGTCCATAAAGACATGGTTGTGTGAATTTGGTGTGGAAGAACTTTACTGGCCTGCACAGAGCCCTGACCTCAACCCCATCGAACACCTTTGGGATGGACTAGAACGGAGATTGTGAGCCAGGCCTTCACGTTCTCCACAAAGATCTGTAAATGCAGTCAAAAGCTAAGAATGCCAAAAGTCTCATATTTTATTTGGTTGCCTATAGTTACGGATAGGGCTGGGTAGGGGATAAAGTTGTCATGTTGGGATTAGAGTTTTCCCCACAGAAATGAATGGAGAGTCCCCACAAAAATATAATTACAAACCTGTGTGTGTGTGTGTGTTGAAGTACCATCTGAATGTAACGTTATGATAGAATGCCATCTTGGCCAATGCAAATTATAGCGTCAGTGATAATCAGTGCTGTGTTTCAGCCTCTGTACGTTTCGCTGTAACTAATTAACATGCAGTGAGTATGCAGATGGGGTGCTTTTCATCTCACAGATTGATCCACCATATAGCACAACTCAAAAGAATTCACATTCCTCAAATGCAATATATGTACAGTAGTCTGTGTTGAAATTAAAATGTCATAGAGGAGAAAAGGCAATCTTTGCATCATGGTTTGCATTCGTGGGCTTCGTCATTGTAGTAAACACTTGCGGGGAACCTCTTCAGGGGCAACTGTGTCCCAGTCTGTGTAAGTTAGAAGAGATTTGAGCACCTTAGAATTATTTCCCTGCTTTCTCTTTTATTGCCTAGAAGATGTGACTGTATCGAGTCACAGGCTGTGGTGTCCTTAGTGTGTTTTGTTAAAACATTTTTCCTTACACACTTCAGTCATTCTTAATGGAGGTATAGTTTTAAAATTAGTGTTTTCGTACTTTTTTGTTTTGTTTTGTTTTGTTGTATTGAATAATTTTTAGGGGAGTTGAAGATGTCCTTTGAACATTTCTTAGACGGATGCACATTGCTAATGTTAACATTTAAAATACGACAGCTTGAGATACTGAAACGCTAATCTGGCATGTGCAAGGAAAGTATTTGTTTTTGATGTGACATCTATGTAAAATTTGCATTCAGTTGTTTGTGTAATAAATGTTTAATGCAATGAGAACAAAAAACTAAAATTTAAAGTAAATTTGCAGTTGATGCTTACTTTTGTAAAGAAATATATTCTACTATCATGAGATATACTCAGAGAATTACCCATAATTATTTACTATCTTATGAAACATGAAACATGAGTTGATTTCTCCAGAATTAGAATACAAGGAGACCGTAGCCAATTGAGAGGACCGTGTGAGGTAATGTAATGTGTGTCCACAAAAAAAAAAAACACATAATCTTATATTTTCTAGTATTTCCTGCTTTTGAAGCGACAATGGCAATAATTGTAATCTGGATTCTTAGAACAAATAATGTTTTCTACTGGAGGAGTGTATCTAAAGATGAAATGTTCTTTGGCCTGAAGCTAATGTCAGTTCAGTTTAGGGACAGTGACTTGGCCACAGAATGGGCTCTTTGAGATACAGTCATCCTGACGTCAAAGCAGATTTTTAAGCGCATATGTTTCTTTCTACAATAAAACAACACAGTGGCAGAGAGGTTCACTGTTTTCCTCTAATCATCTACATGCATAACTAATGAGCCCTTAAGCTTTTAATAACTTGGCCTGGCCGTGTTCCACCCCTTCGATGGTCTGCCTGTCTGAACTGCGATAAGGGAAATTCTCACTTAAGTCTTCCATCATCTGAAGACAGGATAAAAGCATATATGCAGCATGTTGAAGATGCTTGAGTACAGTCACTATCAGGTATGGTGTGTGTTTCTTGTCAGTGCTACAGAAATTCCGGTTGTGATTGCAGACAGTATTATTTGTTATTTGTACGGCCACACTTCTACTCTACGGATTCATGTAGTTAGATATCCTGGTGCCTCTAAGATGCCTATGGTGCGAGTATGCGCTCTGTAGTGAACTGGCCTCCGTCCAGGGTGTCCCGTAACCTCCCTGTTCTTCTTGAGGTGTCAGACTCGCCACAACACTTAAGCAGTCAAGAAAAATGTATTGAGATATTAATAACAAGGTTATTCATAATGTAAATATGAAGACAAGGTTGAACTTTGTGTGTTAAAAAGTAAGCCATTTTTATACAGTAAATGTGGCATATACTATAGATTTTCTCCACATTTCTCAGCCATTAATTTCATGAGGTTACTTTTTTGCTTGGAATTAAACTCATGCTTCCAAGAAGCTCCAATCAGATACAATCAGTATCAATGATACCACCTGCAACAATAAGGATTTGTTGGATGCATAAGAAAATGTGTGTTGCCAGGTAACTGCTCCTGATCCATGCATCTCCACTCTGTCTCCCACGCAGGTTCAGACTCACCTGGAGAACCCTACCAAGTATCACATTCAGCAGGCCCAGCGGCAACAAGTGAAGCAGTACCTGTCCACCACTCTGGGAAGCAAACTCGGCACCCAGGCCATCAGTCTGCCCTGCCCCAGCCAGCCTGTTGAGCACGGGGGCATGCCCCCAGCACCTGGCAACAGCGCCCCCAACAGCCCTATGGCACTACTCACCCTCAATACCAACTGCGAGAGAGAGGTAGCGCAAGTCACGCATGTCCATGTTTGGCTCAGAAGGCAACATTTTATGAACGTCTGATTATTAGCCTGCCTCTGGTTGGCCATCCTTTAGCCTAGCGTCTAGCGTGCTTAACATATAGCATTATTTCTTCTATCGCTGCCAACACCACACAAGAGTCCAGGTTTCACCGGCAGCTATGTGTGTGTCACCCCAAATACGCACTTTGCACGATGCAGGGCATTGCATGGGCTGGACCGACATGCCGGCATCCAGAGGATTTTTTTGGAATTAATTAATGCCACAATTTGCAGTACATTTCCTACCGTAAATCACACGTTGTGTGATCCATTTAAATACTCTCCTCCCCCATATTTGTGCTTTGAAGAGGAACTCCTACGAATGCATATGCAGTATGGCCAGTTGCAAAATTAACTGTCGACAGCGTTCCACTGCTAACTTTTCACTGCATGTCTTTAGTTAATCCCAGCAGTACTATTTTAACGGCAAAAGTCGGTTTGCATTGGCACAAAGTGTTGGTAAATCTGGCCCTAAGCATTCTTCATAAATGAATGCAGGATGTTAAATGGTTTTATGAAGTACAGAAAACTATTTGGAGCCTAATAGTCATTTATTGTAGGATTAATTTAAAAATGGCATTTGGTTATTTTTTCTAAACACAAGCATAGCGTATTTGTCGAGAACGGTGTTAATGAGAAGTAATCTTTATTTGATGCAGATGTAGAGATGACTAAGTTGCATTATAACGTGTGGGTTAGAATACCAGCATATGTGGGACACAGGGTCATTATCAATAACAATAACTTAAGCTTCAAGAAAACCATTTCATAACCTGAAATAAAAACAATTGTCAAATATTTTCTGTTACAGTTTTTTTTTAATAATATTTAGGTGTAAATAATGATTTGTTTATCTTTAATGACCATTGATATTTTACCCATTTTGAACATGTTTTGCTATTTTGAGGACATTAGTACTTAATGTGCACTGTATATTCCCAGTGTATTATGTAGGATACTCCAAAGATCAGACACATAAAACACTTCTACAACTTCTATCCATAGAAATAAAATGATCAAAACCTGAACTGAGAATAAAATATACTAAATTTAAATATATTTTTAAAATAAAAACTATTACAGTCTAATAAACCACACTGAAAACTAACTAAAATTAAATTGGATTTCAAATGAAAATTGAAAACAATATATAAAATAAAAACTGAATAAAAAAATCTAAACTCTGATAATAACTGATGTGGGGGACAACATATACATAAACTATTGCAACAGAGAAAACACATACAGCAACTGAGTAACAACAAATCCAAATAGCAACCAATACATACAACTAAAAGGAAACCATACAAATGACAAATGTGAAGATGGGTGAGCAGCTATAATCTGGAATGTCTTTGCTTCCACATTTCAATCCAGAATGAAAATGTAATGAATGATGCAGTGTGCAGTGGGTGCACTGACTGGGTGTCTTGGCTAAATGGTGATGTAAATTACCTAAACAGCAAAATAATGGTAAACGTACAACATGATTTAATATGAACAAGATCTTCCCTTCCTTTTGCCTCTTGTCAAGTATGATCCATTTCCATTGAAATGTCAATCTTAACAGGTTCCTTGCAAACATAAACCTTTGTAAGCATAGGATATTAGTGCTCACAGGTTTTTTTGAGGATATACCTACAGTAACACTACAAAGCTCAGGTAGTACAGCTCCTGAGTATGATGGATTGCAGTGTCATAGTGTTTATGTTCTTTAATTGCAGATGGATGACGTCATTGATGACATTATTAGTCTGGAATCGAGTTATAATGACGATATCCTTGGGCTTATGGATCCAGGACTCCAATTGGCCAATACGGTAGGTTACCCATTCTACTCATCTCCTTCACGTCTACAGCAAGCAGGTATGAAGGTACAACTTTTGTTGTTAACACTGTGTTAACATAAAGTGTGGCTTGAAATAGCAAAAGGAAGCTGATCTATAAATATTATTTTGTTTCTTATGAGATTTCCCCAGATGCCATAATGTGTGTATTTTAGAGATGTGACCTGAGGAGGGTAACGTGAAAGACGATTAACAAGCTTGAGCCATTCAGTGGACAAAGTGTTTTGTTATAGTTTACATTTTTATGACAATTGCAATATATTCAGTGTTTTATTTAAGTAGGAAATTAAATGCAGGCCATTGGAACAAGGGAGTTCAAATAAATTCTGTGGGGATACACTATACTGTGTCAGTGTAGCATAAAGAGTTCTCATTCCTGGTCTTTCCACGTACTGTACACAATGATTTTTAATGAGAATGCACCTAATTAATACAGAATAATGAGCTGGATGGCAGATCAGTGCAGACACTGGGTCATAGTGAGGACCAGGACTGAGAAGCGTGGAGATAAATCACAGTAGTTTTGTGTTTTGTCTCCCTCTAGTGACTCTCAGCAGTCGTTACAGCTACCAAGTACAGCAAGTCTATTGCAGGTCTCTGAATGTCCCTCTGGTTTAGCAGCAGTGTCTGTGGTTACTTGTCTTGACTCATCTGTTGCTGCGGTTTTCTTTGAGTTCAAACCAAAGTCTGTTATGTCCCACAGATCCCAGTGTCAGCTAACCTCCTAGATATGTATGGCAACCAGTGTATGCCCCCACACGGGCTCTCCGTTAGCAACTCCTGCCCTGCCAGCCTGCCCAACATCAAGAGGGAACTTTCGGGTAAATGCACGACCCCACACCCTAACCCCTAGCTAGCACAGTGCATGCAGAGGATAGTCTGCAAGCTAGGATGGGCCTCCTTCAAGTCCACCGAATATTAGGTTGGTGTGGTGCAGGACACAAGCTCGTTACTGAGGATGGTGTGTCTAAATCGTTATCAACTAAAACCCTAAACTGAGTACTGAAGAATTCAGAAGCTCAGAGGAAATAGCCTAACACTATCCTCACACAAACACAACTCTGGAAATGAGTTTGATAGAACACAGATGGGATAAAATGTGCGGGGCTGTGTACCAGCAGTCTCTGGGTTACAAACATCCAACTTACAGACAACTCGTAATAACGAACGGAATGCCATAAAGCCTATAGTATTAATAAATCAGGTTGAATACAGTAGTTTGTAATAATGAATGCACGCACAACTCTGACATTCAGCAGCTTCAGCAGTTCGTCAGCACGGGGTACAGTACAGTATCATTTATAGTTACTTTTATTATCACTGTATAATTATTATTATCATGTGCTGTATTATTATTTTTCTGACTAACCTACAAATTTGACTTAAAGACAGGCTTAGCGAACAGATCTCATTCATAACCTGGGGGCTGTCTGTATTGCATCATTTCTGTGTGAAAGAGGTGTCAAAATTATAAACTATATGTTCCCTCAAACCAAGTCATGTGTTTAGTTTTTAGCTTGCTGGTAGTTTCCCAGCACAGTACAGATATCCATATTGTGTGCAATTGAAAACCCACAACAAAAATATAATGTGCCAAATAGTTCCCCTTTCTCCGGCCTTGGTGCACATGCTGGACAAGTCTGGATCCTGTGACAAGTTTGAAAGCTATCAGAACCCTGAGGGCTTTCCAGTAGGTACGTTTCATTATTTGTCTTTCAAACGTGGCATTGTTTTGTACAATTAGATACACTGTGTATAAGGCAATTATATTTAATCAACGTGCAATGTATTTGAAATTTCCCTTATTGCTGAAAACAATGTGAAATTAATACATTCAATGTAACTACGTATTATTGAACTTATTTCATCTAATCAAATGTTATTCTGTGCTGATGTAGTAACTACACAGTTATGTATGATTAGAAATTTGTCTTTTTGCACTGCATCAGCAAATTGATTTTTATGGTGATTATTATCGGAAGCCTGAAATGTGCACAATCAGTTGCCATGTAACTTTTTCAATCCATGCTAATTATTTTTTACATATTATTGCAAGTATATACAATATTGCACACAATATGGGATATACTAGCATTTTTCACCCAGAAGCAAATTTGCCAGGTCTTTTATTGTGTTAGCTGAAATATACGAGCAAACTAAATAAAGGGATTTGTTAGAAGCATACTTGATAAAGACATTTTATATTTAAAATTTCACCATCGAGATACTACCTGTGCTGTATCATTTTGTTATTTTACCCCTTGTGACAGGAGTCTTATCGCCATAAATAGAACATGAAATGGAAGGTCAAATGCTTTGAACCACTAAAATTGACAGTTTTTGCTACAATTTACCTGACAGGCCAGGTGAAAAAAAGTCTCAAACACTGTTTTCTGACGGAGCAGAAATGAAGGCTTTGTAACAGACAACAAAGGATGTTGCCGTCCTGGTTTCTTCAGTGCATATTTCTGTGATGCTTTAACATCATGTTCCTAGATGAATGTCCCTTTCACTCTGGTTGCAGAGGCTGAATTCCGAGCTCTGGCAAAGGAAAGGCAAAAGAAGGACAACCACAACCTTAGTGAGTTTTCTCCATGTTATGGCCAGACCTGCTCTGTAGTTGCAGAAAGCTTATTGATTTATATGTTTAATTGGATTTAATATGTAATGTTAGGATTCTGAGAGAAGTGAGAGAACTTCAAATGTTGGCTACAAATCACATAAATAGTTGTTTATGCATCAGCAGTAATACTCTGTTCATACAAGTTCTTTTTGGACAAGTATGTGACGTTCATTTTTCTCTAGTCATTGAATTGATTGTTATTTCCAGTGAAACATATTAATGTATTTTTCTTTTTACTTTGATCTCTTTAGTTGAAAGAAGACGTCGTTTTAACATTAATGATCGAATCAAAGAACTCGGAACCATGATTCCAAAATCAAACGACCCGTAAGTGTGATGTTGTATCCAGAACCATTACTGGTGTCATTCATTTTGTGAAGCTGCAGAATTTCAGATCCCCCCCCCCCAAAAAAAAAACAGAACTCAATTTAGAAGCACGTGTTTTGTTTTTATGCATCTTTTGTTCATGTTACTATGTATATTCTTTTCTAAATTTCAGACATAAAAATAACAGTACTATAGTGGTGATGGAAAAATATGTTATTTAACAAAAACAATTGTAAAAGGATATAGAACACAAATATAACAGACAGTATTGAATAATCATGGTTAAAATTGTACCCTTTATGAATTAACAAATGTTGTAGGATATCTCAGTTTTCATAATAATTGTATGCATTTGTCTAGAGCTGTGTCCCATTCCTCGTGTTATGTTTGGGGTTCTGGGTTTCTGAACTCCTCAGGGACATGCGGTGGAACAAGGGGACCATCCTGAAGGCCTCTGTGGACTACATCAGGAAGCTGCAGCGTGAGCAACAGCGTTCAAAAGAGTTGGAGAATAGGCAGAAAAAGCTGGAGCATACCAACAGGCACTTACTGCTACGGATACAGGTAACCCCCCCCCCAGCCCTTCCTCACTTGGCACAGTCCAATTTTGCAGGAGATCCAATTTTGCAGGAGATCCCTTTTCAGAAGAACGATTTTATCCCTCCTTTAGAGAATCAGAATTGTTTGTATCGCCAAGTACTTTTAGATGCAAGGAATATACTTTGGGGTGTTCGGCAAAACAATCTTGAAAATTCAGGACAATCCAAATTATGTGTCTACTGCAGATAATTTTCATAGTGCAGTGTAGGAGCAGGTTGGACAGGTAGGTGGTGGCGGAGGGTGTAATGTGCTCAGTGTGATGTAGCTGCAGGGAAACAAGACGAATTGCAGGGAAACAAGACGAATGGCCTCAATGGTAGCAGAGTAGAAGTGCACCATCACTGTCTTTGGCAGATTGAACTTCTTCAGCTGCCGCAGGAAGTACATCCTCTGCTGGTCTTTCTTGGTAAGGGAACTGATGTTCAGCTGCCGTCTAAGAGATGAAGGTGTCCAGGAAGCATAAACACTCCAGTCATGCAGAGTGATGAGGGCGGATGGTGCTGAGCTTCTCCTGTAGTTTATTACAATCTCCACTGTCTTCAGAGCATTGAGCAGCAGATTCTGCTGGATAACGGAGGGAGAGTCTCACATCTGTAGGCAGACTCATCCCCTTCAGAGAGCAGTCCAATGAGAGTGGTATCATCTGCCAGCTTCAAGAGTTTGATAGAGTGGTGACTAGAGGTGCAGCTGTTCCATGGATACAGAGAATAGTAGTAAGAAAAGCACATAGACTTTAGGGGAGCCGATGCTGTTGGGCAGAGGATTAGAGATTTCCCAGCTTCATATGTTGCTTCCTGTTAGAAAGAAGGTCTGTAATCTACCTGCCGGTGGATTCGGGAACATTGAGCTGGAAGAGCTTGCTCTGGAGCAGAGCCGGGATGATAACATTGAATACAGAGCTAAAGACCGCAAGCAGCACTCTGGCATACATTCTATCAGAGTCTAGGTGTTGGAGGATGAAGTATAGGGCCATGTTTATAGCATCGCTCATAGACCTGTTGGCTCTGTAGGCAAACTGCAAAGGGTCCAGGAGTAGGCTTGAGGAGGGACATCACAAGGCGCTCTAAAGACTCCACCGCTATAGAAGTGAGGTTGATGGATCTGAAGTCATAATGTCTGGTGATCCTTGGTTTCTTGGGATTAGGAATGATTGTGGAGGATTTGAAGCAGGTTGGCACGTGGCATGTCTCCAGTGAGGTATCACTGCAGTGCAGTGTTTCAAGGTGGACTGAGAGTCTGTCCCAGCTGCCTTTTAAGGGTTCTGTCTCTTGATCATCCCCTGAACATCCCGTGAATAGAGCAGTTGTGGGTTGGGGGAGGGGGCTGGCCATTGTTGACATTTATAACGGCCTGGGGTTGGATAAATGTGCTGTTGCCATCGGTCTGGAGCTGACTAAATGCAAACCCAATATAGTAATATAGTAATGCTCATTTACTCATTAAGGGACATGTTTGTAAGTGGGTTAAACATAGCAACACTTGTGCCAGTGTAATTAACTTTAGTGCTTGTGTGTGATTCAGGAGCTGGAAATGCAGGCTCGCGCTCATGGGTTGGCTGTGGTCGCACCCACTGCCCTCTGTTCCCCTGAACTTGCAAATCGGGCCATCAAGCAGGAAGCGGTCCGGGGAGACTGCAGCCAGGATCTGTACCATCAGCAGCGGCACGCGGCCTCCAAGCCACCAGGACCCACCACTCTGGACCTCAGCGACGGCACCATCAGCTTTAGCAATGGGCCCCCGACCCAGGGAGAGCCCAGTGTGTACAGCATCGCAACCAAGGGGTCCTCGAAGCTGGACAGCATGCTGATGGACGAGGCGGTGTCTCCCGCGGGTGTGGAAGACCCGCTGCTGTGCTGCGTTTCACCAGGGGTCTCCAAAGACAACAGCCGCGAGAACAGCATGAGCATGGAGGAGAACGAGCATGGCTGTTAGCGGGCCGCACGCCAGCCGGCTCCCCAGCTCTACTAACAGCTTGTACAGTAACACCCCTGCTGACGCTGCTGCAGAGGAGGGCGTGGTGGTTGCAGGCTGCTTCTCAAGTATTTCTTTTATTGTTTACATTATTTCCCTTGTCCTTTTTTTTCCTTTTTTCAAATTTGCCATCCACCTCTTTAAACTAACAGTCTGAATCACTGTCTGATCACTGATAGATATTTAATTAAATTTGAGTAGGGCAAAACTGTAGTCAGCTTTAATCAGAAATGATTCATTTACTTTTGCAATTGATTTTCTAAGTCTTTAAAATGTTAAAAATATTCAAATTTCCTAAGGCGAAGGTTATAGATCATCGCTTTTAAGCGGCAAACCTCCTGCTTTATCTATCCAGCAGCACTACTAGGCAGTTTCATAAATGAGAAGTGGCTGAAGAAACGGTGTGTTTAATATTCACAAACGGTTTTGATGGTAGCATCCTTTATGTTGCTTCCTGCGTTGCATATTTTGTGGCTGTAAAGAATTCAATTCGACCCCCTAAAACCAGTCAACAGAGAAGCAGATATTATCAGCGATGGGCATTTCAGGTTCAGTAGCTAAAAATCCAGACTAGGATTTTGTTTCTACCAACCAGTTGAATTTAACGAGTCACAGTCACAGAGTACTCAGCAGGTTGGTAAAAACAAAATCCTAGTCTGGATTTTTAGCTACTGAACCTAATATTCCCAGCGCTGGATATTATACTGAGAGCAGTATTTGTTAAAGTGACCTTTTCCTCATGCGTATGGTGCTGTCTGAGGCCGAAGGAGGTCTGATATACAAACCCCTCTTCTCCAGCATAAACCTCCTGTTGTGATGTATCCCACTGGATGTGGCTGCATGGATGGTGCCACATCACCCTAACAACAGACCCCTAAAGTGACATCACCCTTATACTTAAAAACATCCCCATCACACTTTATTCACTGACTGTGCTGAAGCTCTGGGAATGAATCATTACACATGAAAGGCCAATCAGACTAGCAATCACTTAGCACAAGTCCAGGGTTTTAATCACTATGCCATCTGCTGCCCTTAACTTAGAAACCAACAAAAAGAGCAATATCAATATGCAGGGATGCATCTCCTTTTAGCTCTCATGCTTCTTTTGTGTCACTGACCACTTCAGTTGTATATTCCTGTCTGCAGGCCTCCTATTCAATGCAGCGCTAAAATGTCGAGCCTATAATGAAAATGCAGACTCTTTATAATTTATATCAGAATCCTCTTGAGTAGACAATATGATGACAGCACACATCTGATTAACATCATTTTCATTTTAAAACTTCAAAAAACATGAATGTGGGGATAATTTCAGTCGTGGCAATTTTAAGAACTCTTGTGATCTCAGCAAGAGTATATATCCAGGTAACGGTTTGTGTTCGTCATGGGCTCTGCTCTGCATGCCTCTTTGTGTCTAACAGTAACTTTCAGGACATTTTTATTGTGCTAAAGTTTATATTGAAAAGGAATATAAGGAGACTTTTTTTATTATGACTCGTGGACGTTGTTACTTAAAACTCAAAGAAAACTCGGCTGTCAGATATGAAATGAAGATTTGATAAACAGTTTTTTGTATATTCTAAAGAGTTTTTATTGCACTCATGCTACTGTATGACAGATGGTAGTTGGTTATATGAATAACAGGCTTTATTGTTTTATTTCCTCTGTTTAACTTCAACATAAAGTTGTAGCAGTCTACTCAATATTACGTCAATGGCAATAACCATCGATGTTAGATATCGGAGAGACATTGCGCTTTCTGAAAAGGTGAATTTTAAAAACAAAAACACGATCCTCTGAATCGCAATAATCGAATATGCAATAAGTATTTAAAGTAGATATATTGTGCCTGTGTGTTTTAGACATCAGGATCAAGTTGTTTTCTTAAGCTTACCAGTGTTGAGACAGCGGCGTGCGACGGGAAAGGTGGTTTGTGGACGATGTGCCTTAATTTTAAGATTCATCTTACTTTCGTTCATTTGGGCAGCTGGTGCATGGAAGGTTCCTGCAGCTCCCACTGAAACAGCTTTGTGGTCAACTGGGAGCCAGTGGGAAGCTCCGTCTTCAGCTGCCACGAGGGGGCGTTGTTGTACGTTTGCAGGGTGGAAAGTACTGTAGGATTTCTTGAAGGATGTTCGCGTTACCGTGGTAGGGACGCAGGACCAACTCTGGTCTACAGAAGAGTAGTGCTCCATCACTTAGCCTTCTACGTGTAGCCTTAAAAAAAGTCTGTAATCCAAATGTTCACTCTGTCGGAGTGTTTTTATTTTATCAAAATGTGATAGTGTGGACTGCCAAAATGTTTTGCCAAAATCAAAGTGACGGAATGTCTTTATATGCAAAGCAATATAACATAAACATTAATGTATTTAATGTATTACCGATTTTTTTTTTTCTTTCGCTTTTTTAATTTGACTGACGGTGTCGTCGCTGTCAAATAAAATTTTCTTTACTGTATGAAGCAATATTTAGGTCAGAGCAATATGAGGTGATGGCATAAAGCACAAGCACGCACTTACAGGGTCAGTGTCGGAACACGCGATGCACTGGAGAATGCTTCCTCAGACCACGGGTCTGTGCTTCACACACAACTGGTAGTGGCTGCCTATCACTCCGTCCACCGGCTGGTGGAATGCAGCCACTGCGGATCGAGCCTGCCAGGCATCCGTTGGGTCCATGCCTGCTGCCCGTCGCCCAACAGATGCCTCTCAGGCACTGCCTCCACACAGATGCCTGCTACTGTAATGTGACAATACCTTGTTCACCCGAGGACACGGGAGGCTGTGCCCAGTGTGGTTAGCTACTGACGTAGTAATGGAATAGTGATTAAAAAATGTTTTCTTTGAAACTGCATATGTGAACTACTTCATGGATATTAAATATTAAAGATGATTAAATGGTTTTCAGATATAGTCTGAGTGATTTGTTCCCTTATTCAAATATAGCATTCCACGTACAATTTCATTCCTGCAAGTGCAACTTCGTTGTTAATAGTGAATGTTTTATTATCGTTGAAGGTTGAAAGCAGTCAAGCTTCAGGCAGTTGTAAGCAGATCTCAAGGTCAGAGCGCATTCTGTCAGCTTGCCTCAGTCCATCACACCATTTCTTGAAGGCTTTCTTTCTTTTGTTTTGCGGGTGTCACTGAAGATTTGTACATAAGAATAAAAAAGAAATGTTTGAGAGTTAATTACAAACTGGGCATGGAACATCTAACTGAACAGAGAATACAGTAATATCTGAAAATAAGGTCTTCAACAAGGGGTCCGCAGAGAAACTGCAGGGGGTCCGTGAATCATTGCATAATGACAAACTACTTTTTGTGAAATTTTATAAAAAATGTCAAGCCAGTAATAAGTCAAGCCACTGATCAATAATCACTATAAACTCCATATAACTATGAATTAAACACGCATGCTTAGTTGTCATCCAGATTCTTTATTCAGCTCAAATGTTATTTTACAGGTGCCCAGCTGCAACAATAGGGACTAGCGTAATGTAAAATTCAAATGCGCTATGTTAATGAGAACAGTCACATACAATGTTAAAATAACAAAAATGTACAAATTACAAAGAAACACCTGCAGTCTAAATTACATGAACAGTGGACATTAAAGCAATAAATGAAACCCTATTCACAGCCTATAGTATTGACTAAGTTACCTGAACTACACACACATAGACACACACCTTAAAAATATCTGAAATGAAAGAGAAATGTGATGTAAAATTTGTAACAATAATAAGCCTCAATCAATAACGTTTATATGTTTTATTTATTTTTATTCATTATTTCATAAATATACAGGTTAATATAGTTAATGTGTGTGTTAATATAGGCCAGGCCTAATCCATAACAGTGTTTTCTAATGTGTAATGAGGGGGTCTTTGCTGTGTGTCTCTATCCACCATGGGGTCTTTGCTGTGTGTCTCTATCCACCATGGGGTCTNGGGGTCTTTGCTGTGTGTCTCTATCCACCATGGGGTCTTTGCTGTGTGTCTCTATCCACCATGGGGTCTGTGCTCTGACCAAGGTTGAAGAGCCCTGCTGTGGGTAATAGGGTGGGGGATTCCACTAACCTCGAAGTATGAGGCAATAGGGCTACCCACTGAGTTACCATGTCATATTATTTTAATTATAGAAGTGACATGAATGAGATCCTTTGTACCTCCATGTGGCTTAGCCTTTAGAGTTCTGCCTATTGTATTTTACATTTATTTATTTAGCAGAAACTTTTATTTGAAGTGACATACAAGTAAGAAAAGATTGGAGTCAGGTAGCAGGGTTAACCAGTGTCTGGACCATTTAGGGTTAAGGGCCTCACTCAGGGGCATAACACAACTGCTTTAGACATATACAGAACGATACAAAGAATAAAAGTAACACAAACCTAGCTTTAGCTAGCCATGCAATACTCTGTGGGGACTCTGGCAGCAGAGTTTCTCACAAGGAATCCTGTGCAACCTTCCTAAATATTCGAGCCTTTGGTGCATAATTGTATCCCATGAATAGAACAGTCATTGCCCAGGTACTGTTATTTTCCTGGGTATATTGCAGTGGATCAATAGACAACCAGATTCAAGGATTAATGGTCAGCTGGAATCTTAACAATGAGGTTTTTGAGTTGCACACCAAGGGAGCAGAACCTGGCAACAAGGCATGAACTTTCGATATTTTTACAATGATAAAGCCAGTTGTTTATGTCTCAGACCATCCTCGTGACACCAAACATGAATATGTACACCACCTACAGTAACATTACACAATGTTTCTTCCATTTAGGCATTATGTGTAACCTTTCTACGATCTGGGAAAAGGGGCAGAGGAGCAGGGAGAGAGGAGTTGGGAAGGAAGGTTTATGAGTAGAGCACATGCAAGAGGCTGCTTGTGGGACGGTTCTTCCTCAGTGGGGGTGCATGCAGCACGTGTGCCAGAGTGTGTGTGAGCCCAGTCTTTTCAGAGCTGACTTGACAGCTCCCCCCTGGGGTGAAACACAGCACAATACCTGATGCTCTCCTCTTTCTATGCTGGCTCTATTTCGCAAGAATTGTGCACAAATGGGACCATGGTTTGTCTCTCAAATGTAAATAAGGACTTAACACATTAACATCAATGAGCCTAATACCTCATCAAGTTTAATGGCTTAGTATCTCGTTACAGAGGCTTCGGAGAACCATGGATACCACAACAAATTCGGGGGCCCAGCACTTTGTAGGGGCCCCAAAATCCCCCCCCCCCCCCCCACTCAGCAAAATCAAGTGAGCAATTGAGAGTGCCAACCCAAGTAAGGGGCCCGAGGGGACACTTTCTCTGGTGCCCGGGATTTCTGGCCACTCCCCAGTCTCTTTGTATTTATAAACTGCTGATAATTATTATCGAAATCGGGGGTATCGCTAGGGCTTGGCCCCCCTGAAATGTTCTTTGCACCCCCTCCCAACTAAATGTGCATTAATTAGTTTAAATAGTGTGTTCTCATTCATTTTCATTTTGAGGTCACTTTCATCATACCTGCCATTACAGGCTTAGATCCCTTTTTCATAAATCTCTAGTGATGATCATCATCAGCTGTATTACTATAGAATAAGTTTTGTTTATTGAAGACGTTTGTTCAAGATTCATTTATTTGTCATATACATAGTCATACAGGTACAAATCGCAGTGAAATGCAAATCTGGTCACTCAGACTGTGAAGCAAAATAACAGTTAAACAAAAAATAAATTAGATTAAACGGTGAAAAGTGTGGAGAGGTGGCCAGATGGCTCGTAAAAGTTAAATAAGATTATATATACTATATATGCAGAAGTAATACTTAAGGCATTAACTCAGTATAGTTAGTTACAGTAGTTCAAAATGTTATTACTTGTATTAGAATGTCAGTCCTGTCAGTCTGGTTTCACACCCCCTTGTGGAATTGGAGTGCTGATGTTCAGAGACTCCCCATGCCTGTGTTCCCACTTGCCTTTCCCTCCTACTTATTCTATAGCTATATCTACCTCTACTTTGGCTAATGCTTTTTATGCCCCCCCCCCTTCCCTCCTGGGGTGGGCTCCCAGCAGACCCTCAAAAAATCTAAATATCCTGCCTTCCTTGCTGCCTGCGACACTCCCCAGCTGGCATTTTAACGTGGAGTCAGCGTTGAATCAACGTCAGGTGTCAGTGCTGGATAACCTTTGG